GGGGGGGGCGGCACTTGTCATGAGTTGCATCGTTGACAGGAGGATTTCGACTGGTTGACTGCGTCGAACAGAACAGCCGGCCAGCGGACAGAAAAATGAATATTAATTTGTACTTTCGAAATCACGCATCATCAGCTGTCAATTTAATATTCGTACGTTTCTTGTGGATGCTGAAAATGATAAAATCACAATGTCAACTTAGTTTATTATCGCGATCCTGAAAATGACCATTTTTCAGCAAATGACTTGATCTGTAAAAGTGGTACGATTCTATGGTTGTAGAAGAAAATAGTAAAGGGATGCTAATGTGGCCATTAAAACTGACGAAAATGCAGCCAAACAACATTGCGCACTAACACCTTGGTCAGTGATGTTTGACTGAAACGCTGGTAGTTTTTATAAAGACATTACTATTTTTGTCTAGAACCAGAGAATCGACATCGCCATAACCGAAAAAGCAGAGTCTGATTAAGCTTTCGAAATAATTTTACATATATGGTATAAAATAACGCCTAAATTATAGTGATAGCAGTAACTAACGATTCTAAAAGACCAGTAGGATCACAAGTGATGAGAGGTGAGGAAATCACGTACCTGTATCGAACAGAATGAACCGAATAAAAAATTTATAAGTGGAATAAACTCAAATGGAAATATTAGTTCATGCGCTCCGAACAATATTGGCAAGTGCCTCTTTACGGTTATAAGGTGTCACGGAAATTGAGAGGTACGGAAGAAAGACAAGAGTGAAAGAGACCGACAAACAGACACAGAGAAGAAAGACGAGGGAGCTGACGCCGAGATGAAGGAACGTGGATGGAATTCAGTGCACAAATGTAACAAAGCCAGGATTCATTTCGTACTCCTCACCTTCATTGTGTGCGCGTAGTCGACGGAAGACCGTTGTGATGTGCAGCAGAATGTTTTCAGGGCATCTGCTGAAAGATCGTTTGATAATGTTATATGGTACTAACGACAAAAATCAACTTAAATTTGGCAAAACTGTCAAGACAGACGCCCAAAGGATTACTCAAAAGACGACAGGAGGAGACGTCACCCTTCCGGTCCTCGGACTATGACCTAAGAAACTCAGTGCCACCTAATGACCTGTTTCAAAGAAAGACACCGGGAATGGAGCCTATGCGCCCGTAATGGACCGTACGGACTGTAAATACTTCAAACTTGGCAGTCCCTCAAAATGACGGACAGATGCTTTAATCGGACTAAAGCGGTTTAGCAATTTAAATGCTTCCTTGTGAATCTTCTAGCGGCATAAGACGTTTACCAATGATCTGTGTACCACCAGCAGTCAGTTTCGTATGCTATGCCGAAACGGAACTCGATCTCTTAAATTCTCCGTTTGCTGACAGGCAGCAATTACCTGAGTACGGTATCGCATGAGGAGTCGAAGTACGGTACAGATCATTCTCGACCCGCTGAGGTAACATGATAGTAGCACGTAATGAACTGCGAAACGTTCTGCTAAAGTGTAAAAGGTATCTTGTTTCGCATGACGACCGTTCGATCGATGGCATTAGTTGAAATGAACAGATCACGAGAAGGTCTGCGTATTCTCACTCACAAGGCTCTGCATATCGGAACTGACAGATCTTTTTGTGGAGTTGCTGTTTACAGTAAGGATACTCAGAACGGCGGATTTGAAGCTCAATCAGACACTGATCCCGAGGGAAGTATATTCAGAGTCATTTCATCGACCGTCCGTCTTGTACTCCTTTAGCAAAGAGTACCGACTAAACGGTGTGTAGCCCAAAAAGAAGCTTCAAATCGAGTGCTGTAATATCTTCAGTTAAGGTTGATGAGTAATTTGATTTTACTTTCGACATGTTCAAGTCTAACGTTTTTCGTTTAAACGGGATGAAGAGGAGAGGAGAGAGGTGAGCCTTGCAGTACGCTGAGATAGTTGAGGCAGCTGTTGTGAGTCAGTGCCTTTAAAGTCCACAGTATAGTTTACCAGGGAAAGGTATACCGTAACGGTACGTAGAACGTAGTGTTTAATCTCAGCATTATAAAGGCTAGAGAGTATTATTATTATTATCTTTTGGAACGGTATCAAAGTTGCTTCAATGGACTTATGAATTATGAAACAGCTCGACGTCATCTTTGTCAGAAGCGACACTTCTTTGGCGAAACGGTTTCAATGCCGATCACGTGCTAATAATGATGACCAACAACGATGAAACTTCATCTTTGTGTATTAGCAGTCATATCAGAAACAAAACAAGGTACTTTCTGCAGTACAATCGAGTGGAACCACTATAATATTACAAATATTATTCAAGTTGTAGTCGACCTGACAAATTCTCTTTCGTATGGTTTTCGTTGTTGGTTATGCCGGTCTTTTCTGGCAGATGGAAACAGTGTTGTCTTTGGCGTTGATCAACTGACTCCGATGATCACTTCTGTGGCGGCAAATAATGAATCGTACAACCAACATTGTATCCTATTCTATAAAAAAAATCTATCAGATGCAAAAAAACGAAATGCTGCCAGTAGCTCGGTAGTTGTTTATTATTTGTCACGAGGGGACTCCTGGTTTAATAGAGTCATACTAATCAAGATATTCCCT